GCAGACCTCCAACTAGGGGTGTCAATTGGACTGGGTTTGGTCCAGTCCGATCCAGTCCAATGTGAGTCCATTATAAATGTACCAGGTCCAATCCAATCCAATGAATGTTTTGGATCAATTTGGACCGGTCCAATTCAATATCTGAACCATCCAATCTGTTCAAATTCATTTTGATTTAGATTGATTTCAATCCAAATCCAGTCCATTGATACATATATTCTTATCTTATATCAATGGACCAGATATTGACTTAACCCAACCCAATCCAATATAAATTTGTTACGGATAAATCAGGTCCATTCCAATCTAATAAATATTTTAGACCGAATTAGTCCAATCCAATATATCTTGTTAGTCCATCCAATCCATCCAAATTGATTTTGGACTGAACGGGGTCCAATCCAAAACCGGTCCATTAACACCCTTACCTCCAACCATGATGACTCTTCGAAATCGAGTTCTAGCAAACCAGATAGCTGAATTAAATGATAAATTTATGAGGCCCGTTATTAGTTATTACTAGGTAGGCAAGGGTATGGGAACTAAAGACCTTAGTATATGAAGATAATGGAATTGAATTCAGTTTGAGTGAAAGGCGCCGTATATAATTTCGGAGCTCACGGGGTGGGAAAAGAACAGTGGGGAAATGAAAACGGTAAGGAAGCTAACTATAACCTAGCTAGATGGCTGCTACAACAATCAAGCTTTGAAGGAGACAGACCGTTCACTTTTACCTCTGATCAGGAAAAGATTTTCCTCGTTGGCTTTTAATAAGGTGGCGGCTAGAGAATCTAATAGATCAAATGGATGCATGGCTAATAGAAGTTCAGGTTAAAGAGTTGGAAAATGATAGTGTCCCAACCACCTAATTTAATGAAACCACTGGGAGTAGTATAAAATACAGATGGGAATTGGGCAGGGTCTGAAGCAGCACATCGAGTCCTATAGTGGCCCTTCCCATTATCTAGGGGGTCTCTTCCTTTTGTTTTGAGGGAAAAAGGTAGGAAAAGGTAGAGTAATTTATGCAAGTTTTGTAAAGGTTTTCATACTTTTAACACAGTCTTAAGGAAGCGGAAAGACAGAGTGGAACAGAGAATCAATACCCAAATTTAGAAGAACTCCTAAAAAAGAGCTAATTAAGAACCTGAATTTAGACCTTCTATGCAGTAATGAGGACAAAAAGAGAATGGAATGGGAACGCTGATATGCATGCAAAAGGGATTGGGGATCCTGTGCCGATCCAAGTCTGACGGCCAAGGTGGCGACCATGTGGGAGCTCAAGAAGAAACTTGACATCCAAAGCATAGGTAATGGCCGAAAACAAAATCAATTCGGTATTGGAAAATAAACAAGCTTGTTCGCATCTAAGGATGTGAATGGATTGAATTAAATTGTAAATGTGGCTTAAGGTTAGGGTCAATGTTATTCAAGTGTAGGGTTGGGTTACGGTTTTGATTCATTAACTTGAATCGTGCTTGGATTTGAATGACCTGCTTTGATATGACTTCTAACTCCATAACCTTAAAGTTTAGGATTTTTTTTTCATGTTTATTTTGGTTTTCTTCTTTCATACTAGAGTAGGTGGAATCTTAGATCTCATAAACAAAATACCAACTTAAATTAATGGCTTTTAGATTTTCAAAATGTGTAATAAAGGCTCTATTTCGAAAGAGTACAAATACAGGTATGTAGAGTGTAAAACCTTATATTTTGTATTATTTTATATACATTTGTACCGTACATATTTATATTTATACTCCTTCTAAACTGAGCCAAAACTATAATTGAAAAGTCACAAATTGGGCTTAGGTGGAAATAAGGTGAAGGCAAACCCATATATTGAACCTGACTTGTTGACATGTTACATCGTTGGGAGTCACTTGTTATGTAACCAATCACAAGTGAACTACTTTATATAGGTTTTCTTGTCTTTCCCTTCCTTTCCCTACATTTTCCTTTAAACCAAACATAGTCTTAAAGGAGCTAAAATACTTCCAAGAGGAGTTAAAATATATGCTTTAAACAAGTATGGAAAATATTTGGGAGTTCCACTTCTATGGAGGAAAAGAAATTAAGTAGTCAAAAGTCCATATTGTTTGTTTTGGACAAATGAGGGGACGATTGGCCATTTGGAAAGCCTCAACTTTATCTTATGTTGGTAGGAAGGTCTTAGTCCATCCTAGTTACTATCTCAGGAAATTGAAATAATCTTACTCTGAATTCAAGATTTCTCCTTCGAACATTACACACATCTTGAGTACTCATATATTCGAACATTACACACATCTTGAGTACTCACTCATATATTAGGAGTGAAAATGGATCAGATTATGATTCGATCCAAATTTAAGTTGAATCCTATTTTGTCAGACTTGGATATACCCCGTCAGATTTTTGAATCAGATCAAACAAATATCCGGAACACCCCTATCTACTTCGAAAGAATTCGATCTAATCTTATATGTATTATATTTATTTATTTATAAATATATTTATATTGCATTTTTATAATTGTTATATTATTTATTTCTTATAAAAAAGACATGTATAGGTATAATGAAAATAGTTGAAAAATTAATTATATTTTTGTTTTCTTTATAAATTGTTAGGTTTTTTTACCTTTTAATAACACTAAAATTTTCAGAAATTAAATTAGATTGGATCATATTCAGATTTATCCGACATCCTTAACAGATTCCTATTCAAATTGACATTTGTGAAATCTAATCGGATATTCGAATTAGATGTAAGATTTGTATTATTGGATCGAATTCGGATATATATAGATTTGAATCTGACCTGATACGTTTGCATCCCAACTGGACCTTCGAATGGTCAATTCTTTGTTTGACAGTAATATTTAAAAGAATGGAAAGTTGTTAATATCTCTGTGGATAGTGGTGTTTTAACGTGGTTTAAAAAACTTTGAAAATTAAAAATTACCTCCTCAATTCAAACTTTTTTGTGGAGACTTCGTAGAGGTTTTATTAACACATGTTCATACCAATTTTGTGATGGGAAAATGAGTCTATTCTGCATCTGTTTAGTCAATAGAATTTAAGAGTTAATCTTTAGAACTTTCAATCCATTTTGATATTTATTTCTTTCGGTAAAATACAGACAGGCCCATTGCAGACCTATAAAATTTCAAAATGTCAAATACCCCCACTTTATACCTCAATGCCCGCCCATGAATTGGCATCAATTCTAATCTGGCACCTACCCCAACTGTACTTTCGGCCTAAGAGTTCTGGCTCTGGACTGAACCATCATTCTCCCTAGTTCTTTTTGGTAGAACAGGGCTATGAAGTGTGAATTGAGATTTTCTACCAATAAAATATGTTCTAACCCTCTACAAACTTGATCTAACACTATATATCTCACTATGAGGCTGGGACCCATCATAAAAGTGGGACCACCATGTATGAGATGTGCGGTGTGAAATTATGTTGGTAGAGGGTTGGAATGCATTTTGTTAACATGAGATCCGGATTCATGAGGTGTGTTATGTGAGAAATCCCAGTTACTAACAAAAGTCTCTCTCAACACATTCTAGGACCACGAGTCAGGATTTGCTCTTTACATAATGCTTTTACACTGACCTAACTATACCAATTGCATATCAGGCATGGGAGATGTTCCTAATACATGCTAGGGTGTGGCCGTGACGTTGGTGTGAAGCATGGTTTTTAAAACCGACCCGGTGACTGAACCGGTCAGGGGTCCAGTTATCGAGTCGAACGGTCCGACTGTTCGAACCGAATGCTTGGCCCATTCTAACAAAAAAATAAAAAGCGGTCAAAACCGTTCGAATGATTAACCACCCGATTCAGTAGTTCACTGACCAAAATCAACGATTTTGGGGGAAAACAGAACCGATCACCTGACCTGACCGGTTCCCGATTTTCCCGGTCCGGTCTAATTTTGAAAACCATGGTTTGAAGAGTGTTTTGTGAGTAGCAGATCCTAATTCACGTTCCATATTATATTATGGAACCCACCACAAGATTAAGACCCACTCTGCAACGGAAAAGGATCTGCTCCTCACACAGGGGGACGCCTCACATGCACATCCACCATGCATTGGGAACATCTCCCATGAATAATAATTCATAAGTACGGGAGATGTCCCCAATGCATGGTACGATGTGCGTGTGAGGCGCCTGTGTAAGGAGCAGATCCGGTCTCCTCGGCAACTTCTAATATCAACATGTCATATTAGAAGTTTAGATCGTGTTGATTGAAAAGTTTTGTAGGCGGGATGTCTCTACCGGAATTCACATTTGTGCTTTACAATACATCCCAACCGTGTATTGGAAATATCTCCTAAAACATATGTGGGGTGCGGATATGAAATTTCCGACGAGATTGGGGCGCCTCACACGTACATCTTACGATACATTGAGAGCATATCCCGTACTTATAGGTTATTATTGACGGGAGATGTTCCCAATGCACAGTGGATGTGCATGTGAGCGCCCCTGTGTGAGGAACAGATCCCGTTTCGCGGTAGAGAATTAACCGAGAATCGTAGTGGGGCCCACCAAACTGTCGTAGCAAATGTGGCAGTTCGATATCGTATCGGTGAATATGGAAAAACAAAACAGAAGTGCATGCATTGGCTAATGCAAAACTAGTGTTCAGTTGCATCTCTCTCTCTCGGTTTGTGGTTTCTCTTTCTTTCTCTATCTCAATCAATCGCCTTCGTAATTCTGTTGTTTTTTCATGCAAAAAACAGTTACATATATTTTCCTTTGTCAAAATTCTTGGCTTTTGGATAATTGGATTTATCATCTGCATTTGGATTGATCGTGAAGACCGTCAGGGTCGTTGTCATTTCTGAGTTGTCAAATTTAACGCGTTCAAAGAATTAATTTAATGCATCTCAAACCCTGAGTCAACTTTTTGAGATGAGGAGATTGATTGTTTGATCTTCACTGCGTATTGGATGCCGCCGTGATCTGGTTCTTCGAGAGGATTGAGAATCATCAGAAGAAATTCATTTTGTATATAAATGTGGCGACGTTAACACTGTCGTCTGAAGATGGTATAATGAGAACAGTTTTGTGGGTTAGAGTATTTGTGAGATGGAATTTAATGGAGGTTTAGTCAGCTTCTTACGGGGTGCCATGAGAATGGGTTGAGTAGTATCAAATGCAAGCAATGGAGGATGCGGACGCGCCGAAAGAACGGTTACCGTCTCCCTTTCTCTCTGTGGAGGCGGTTGAGGTGCCTGGTGAGGCACTACAAAATGTCTACACAGGTAATGCAAACATGCCACCGCTGCCATTGGGGCAGCGACGCAGTCAAAGTGGGGGTCGAGGTGAAACAGTATCCTCTGGGTACGTATGCAGTAATAGTTTTCAAAGATGGAAAGCTCAGACGCAGAAGGCTTGGCGATTACATGGCAACACTAGGGAAAAGGGGAAATCGAATTTCAATCCTGAGATCCTCGCAGAACAAAAGCGCCAGTGGTATCGACTTCACTCCAAAACCTTGGTATGCTGCTTTGGTTCTTTGGTTCAGTTTGGAAGAGGTACAAGTACAAATATGTAGAGTGCAAAATCTTGTATTTTTCATTATTTTATATGTATTTACACTGTACATATTTGTATTTGTACTCTTTCCAAACTGAGCCTTTAGAATTTTATAAGTTCAGCATTTAGTTGGGTATTCAATTCATGTGGATATTGGTATTGTTGCCTTACCTTTTATTGAAGGGGCCATTAGCTGGTGTAATAGTTAAATCTTGGGCAGGCAAGTGTGAGAACGTGAGTTGGAGTCTGAGAGCGGCCACTTTGTGCAAAAAAAAACACCCTTCTACTCCTCTCAATTAAGGCCCCAATATCTGGGACCGACATTGGTTAATGGCCTTACCTTTTGTTGGAGTTAAAACAACAATGAAAAATTAAATATCACAGCTAGAGTTATAGCTCTCCATCTATATATGTCACTGCACGTATATTATTTATTGTTGAAGTTAAAACAACAATGAAGTCAGAACATGATTTCTGGAACTATTATTTATGTTCTTGTTCGATTTGTCTTTAATCACAGGATACTATGCATAACAATTAAATCTTTACTATTGGCATGTAATTAAATTGGCTCTATGAAATAAGCAGGTGCATTGGTTTATGTAAAGAGTTCCTTTTATTATAACCAATACACCAAATGAAACATGAAACAGGGAAATGTTTACTTTCTATAGAGTTACTATATTCTTCCTATAGGTGAATAGTCTACTTTATAGTGATAGGTGATTCTCATTTAGGTTATGTGTTGCTTCAATCACTACATCTCACTATATATCAGATTGAATTCTAAACTAGAGTATTTTAAAATATAATATCTGTTGGAGGGTTGCCTCCTATTTAGGTTCTTCTTACTTGATTCTGCCCCTTATTTGGTATCTGGTTTCTAGTAAGATTGGGAACCAAAAATTCGATACTGTACCTTTTTATGTATGTTTCTAGGAAATAAAATACAACTGAAAGGTATGTCGCCATTTCAAAAGAATAAGCTTGTCTTATATATAGATTGCAATGGCAGTACATCCTTGGGAGCTCCAGGATGTCTTTATTAACATGGATAGCACCAAACCCTCATAAAATAAGAGAATGTTTCTTGGTTGATAGGAGTTCTGGGGTGTATGAATGGGAGGGTCATAAGAAATTGGAGGGTAATGGGTAGTCTTTAAGAGCTGAACCGTATGCAATACAGTAGAAATCACTGTTTGGAAATCTAGATGAATTCCTTGTGAAGAGGAAGAAGAAGAAGATGAAGAGTTTCAGCAGTAGAGAAGAAAAGAGAAGAAAGAAAGAGTAGGATGTCAACCAGAATTGAATTAGGTCTGGCYGCCAACCCCTCATTATATTTTATACTTAACTTAAAAGAATAAGAGATTACAAGAATGCCCTTAGTAGGGCGGCTACTAAAGTAGCTGAATAGACACAACTTAAAAACATAAGCTAATGGGCCTAAAGCCCAACAACTTCCTAATTTAACAACTTAAAAAATAAGAGCTAAATAACTGTGCCCAATAACTAGAAATCGGCCCAACTCAACACTCCCCCTCAAATTGGGAGTAAATGTCACATATTCCCAACTTGCGTAGATCATGCTCTAGCTTGTTCCTTGCAACACCTTTTGTGAGAACATCAGCAAGCTGCAGATTAGAAGCAATGTATGGGAGACAAACTTCCCCAAAAGTCACCCTTTCTCTGATGAAATGTTTATCCACTTCAGTGTGCTTTGTCTGGTCATGCTGAACTGGGTTATGGGTTTGCTGCCTGGTTATCACAGTACAACATCATAGGTTCTTCCGCCTGTATACCAATCTCTCCTAACAGGGAACGGATCTAGAGAAGTTCTGAAACTCCATGTGCCATGGCCCTATATTCAGCTTCAACACTTGATCTTGCCACCATTGTTTGTTTCTTACTCTTCCACGAGACAAGGTTACCCCCAACAAGGGTGCAYACTCCTRAAGTWGATCTCCTATCATCAAGGCATCCTGCCCAATCTGCATCTGTATAAGCCTCTAGTTTCAACTGTCAATGATCAGCAAACAATATGCCTCTACCTGGGTCCCTTCAGATAAGCAAGAATCCTGTCAACAACCTCCCAATGTTGGACTCGTGGAGCATGCATATATTGACTTACCACACTTATTGCATAGGAAATGTCTGGTCTTGTCATACACAAGTATAGCAGCCGCCCCACAAGTCTCTGATATATCCCAATTTCCTTTACTAGCTCACCTTCTGATGCACTAATTCTGTGATTATGATCAATAGGAGTACTAATTGCCTTTGTTCCAAGCTTCCCTGTTTCTTGTAGAAGATCCAAGACATACTTCCTCTGAGAGATAAAAATTCCATGTTTTGATCTTGCAACTTCAATGCCTAAGAACTCTCTAAGTTCTCCAAGATTCTTAATTTCAAATTCTCTGTGTAGATTCTTCTTTAGATAATCAATCTCACTTAGGTCATTCCCTGTGACAACAATATCATCCACATAAACAATTAGGACTGACACCAAGGATCCCCTCCACTTCACAAACAAGGTATGGTCAGATTGAGTCTGAGTGTAGCCAAAAGCAACCAAGGCTTTCCTAAACCTGTCAAAACATGTTCTGGGAGACTGCTTTAAGCCATAAAGTGACTTCTTAAGTTTGCATACCTTTCCCTTTTCAGGAAGATCCATATACACTTCTTCTTCCAGATCTCCATTTAGGAAAGCATTCTTCACATCAAGTTGAAACAGGGGCCAAGAGTATGTGGCAGCAAGAGAAAGAAGTATCCGAATAGAGGTCATCTTTGCAACTGATGCAAAKGTCTCTAAGTAATCAATGCCATAGGTCTGTGTGTACCCTTTTGCAACAAGTCTGGCCTTATACCTTTCTATACTTCCATCTGCCTTATATTTGACTGTGTAAACCCATTTGCATCCAACAGTCTCCTTGCCCTCTAGTAGGTCCACAATCTCCCATGTATGATTCTTAATTAAAGCTTCCATCTCTTCCTGCATAGCTGTCTTCCATTTAGCTTTGGAGAGAGCCTCACTGACACCCTTAGGTATAGACACGGAGTCAAGAGAGGAAAGAAAAGTTCGGTAAGTAGGAGAAAGTCCACTATAGGATAGGTACTTGAAATATAATGAGCAGTACACTTTCTCTTCCCTTTTCTAAGAGCAATAGGAAGGTCCAGGTTATCTGTAAGGGGGTTAGTAGAATCAATGGGAATTGAAACAATAGAGAGACCAAGAGGAATACCTGAATCCGTATCAGCTGAATCTGGAGTCTCCAAGGAATCGACAGGAAGTGATGTGAGTTCTGCTGCAGTGGAATCATCCTCCCTGTGGAGTCTCTGTCGTGAGTAACGCTGAGAAGCAGGACACAAGGGAGGTGGTAAGGCAGGTGACATAGGAGGATCAGGCACAGGAGTGGACACAGGAACTAGAACAGGAAGAGGGATAGACTGTTCACTCACTTCCCCAAAACACTCCCCCCGAGAAGGATTCTTCGAGAAGAAGTATGTGGACTCAAAAAAAGTGACATCCATAGTAACATATTGACTCCCAGAGACTGGATCATAGCAATAGCACCCTTTCTGATTTTCTGCATATCCAAGGATGACACATTATTTTGCCTTCGGATCAAGCTTTGAACGGTGAAGACCAAGAATATGTGCAAAGCAAACATACCCAAACGCTCTGAGAGGAATATGGAACATCTCCCCCTCAAGAAAAAGGAGGCTGAATGGGGTGCTAAATCCAAGTATACGGGAGGACACCCTGTTAATCAAAAATACTGCTGTGAGAACTGCATCACCCCAAAACCTAATTGGAACTGTAGATGTGATCATCATGCTTCTTGCAATCTCAACAATGTGTCTGTTCTTCCTTTCTGCAACACCATTTTGCTGTGGACTGTAGGAATAGCTGCTCTGATGGACAACACCATATTCTTACAAATATGAGCAAGGTATTTTTCAAAATATTCCCTGGCATTGTCTGATCTGAACACCTTTATTCGTGTTCCAAACTGTGTTACCACTATCTGATGAAATTGCCTTACCAAGGATGGTACTTCATCTCGGGATCTCATCAAGTAAATCCAAGAATATTGAGAGAAATCATCCACAAATAAGAGAAAATATCGATAACCACCCATAGAAGGAACATGATAAGGTCCCCACACATCAGAATGAATAACATCAAAAGGAGATGAACATCTTTTATTACTTGCTTTAAAGGAATGTCTACAATGCTTTCCAAGTTGACAACCTTCACACTCCAGACTTGACAAACTAACAGACTCAAATAGCTTTGGAAACAAAAGACTCAAAGAATTAAAAGCTAAATGACCTAAACGATTATGCCAAAGCATAATCTAACTCACAGACCCTACCAAAGAAGAAAAATCCCTACTGACATGATGACTCTGATGAGGAGGAAGCACATATAGGAGCTAGGTTCCATTCACTCCACGACCACTCCCAATCGTCCTTTTTGAATCCAGATCCTACAAGATACAATGACCAAGAGAAAAAATTATTGAACAATTCAGGTTCTTAATCAAACTATTTACAGATAACAGATTAGTACTCAATCTGGGAACATGAAGGACAGAGGGAAGGGAAATGGAATCACTAACCTTGACAGACCCCTTCCCAACAATGGGAACATGAGATCCATCAGCTGTGGAGACCCTGTCTCTGCCAGAACAGAGCTGGTAAGAAGAAAAATAGTGGAACTATGGGTCATGTGCTCTAAGGCTCTAGAATCTATAATCCAAGGAGGTCCCTCCTTACCTGTAGTAGAAACATAATTTGCAGTGGCATGTGAACTACTTGTGTGAGCAAAGGAAGTAGAGTGTGCTCCACCAGAACCACCTGTACCTAGCTGTCCACCTATTGCTGAACTAGAACTGGCTGTATTCCGTTGGTTCAAAAACTGCCCATACCTCTCAAGTTCAGCCCTTACTGCAGTAGCTG